ATTGCTATTCTGAACTGGTTTTTAGTGTAGCAGGGGAAGGAAAGAAGTCAGTTGTTTAGAACAAAACACTGCAGTGGCAGAACAGAAATGGCATTTGGAGCTTGTCAAAAGCCTTCAAAACACAAAGAGAAAGTTAAAGTGGAAGAGAGCTTCCATTATCTCTTCCATTTTCCTTTCACTTGGTGTCACTTGCACTTCTATGCGTATTTTGATGTCAGAAGTTGGCAGTATAAAACAGAAGTAAAGAAGACTGTACTGAAAGCACCGTGACAAACATCAAAGCAAAAAGGCCACGCAACCCTCCCTTCTCTCTTTGAATTATCAGAGGTGTGGCAAAACGTCTCAGCAAAGCGAAGGTCATCTTTCACTGTATTTATTGTACAACTTCCATTTTTAATGACACATCTTCACTTCTGTAGCAGCAGCAGCATCCGGGCTGGCATCCCATTCTCATACAACTACTTTCCTGCTTTACACACTAATTAAATCTCATAACACTTGGCTTATATGGAACTGAAGCCAACAGAACGGCTATTCCTGAAGCACAGAGACCAGGAGAAGCTCTGGGGAGCATTTACAAACAGCTGGAGCTTACGCAGTCCCACACAATTCCTATTTGAAGCAACTGTGAGTGCGAAGTTTTTGGTTTGGGTGTTGTTGTTGCTGTTGTTTTTTGAAATAGAAAGCGTTGCTGACTCAACTGCCTTTATACTTGAAGCCTGAAATGAAAAGCAGACCCGATCACATTGTAACTGGGAGCAACCCCCAGGGAACCATCCAAACAGAAGGATATAAATGCAACAGAAACATACCCCTAATTAACAAGCTCTACCACTTCTCAACAACAACCAAAAAATGTTTGGAAAGTTGTTACTGCTGGTTCTCAGAGTACACACTGCAGAAAATAAGTTTGCAAGCTCAGACCTGTCTGGAAAGCAGCCTTCCCAGATCCACAAAGCACTCACCAGCAATTCACATCTAGTCAGACCATTGGCTCACATGGGAGCATCACATCCAGGGCTGCTGCAAGGGCACTCATTAAACTCCTGAAAGAAATACCATCCTTGCTTGACCATCACCTCATCTCAATGCACCCTCCACGAAGCCCAACCCCCAACATCAACTTTTGAAACTATTTTCTCCATGAAGCAGCCTGACAAAGCTGCAAAACACACACGATATAAACACACAAAGCTACTTTGGCAGCACCGTTAGTTGCACGCAGATTTCAGGACGCTCTGCAGCCATGTCTGTCTCCTCATCTCTCCTCCATTCATGCACATCCATCACAACAGACGAGTGCATGCTGCTGAGGTAGGATGGCTCAGGTGTCTGAAGGGATGAGCAGTGTAATCCTCCCTGCTTAGATCTAGTGGGGAAACACTGAAGACACAACCTCATCATCTCCTCAGAGAAAAGCAAAGGCACTGAGGAGTCGGTGAAAGCAGCTTATAGACTTATAAACACAGCGTTCCAGGATCACAGAATCACCAAGGTTGGGAAAGACCTTCAAGATCATCCAGTCCAACCATCCACCCATCACCAACAGCTCTCACTAAACCACTTCCCTCAACACAAAATCCAACCATTCCTTGAATGCCTCCAGGGTCGGTGACTCCACCACCTCCTGGGCAGCCCATTCCAGTGCCTGAACACTCTTTCAGAAAAGTAGTATTTCCTAACATCCAGCCTAAATCTTCCTTGACGCAGCTTGAAGCCATTTCTTCCAGTCCTATCACTAGTTACATGAGAGAAGAAGCTGACCTCCAGCTCACTACAACCTCCCTTCAGGTAGTTATAGAGAGCAATGAGGTCTCCCCTGAGCCTCCTCTTCTCCAGACTGAACAATCCCAGCTCCTTCAGCCACTTCTCGTAAGGCCTGTGCTCCAGACACCTCACAGCTCTGTTGCCCTTCTTTGAACCCGCTCCAGGGCCTCAACGTCTTTCTTGCAGCGAAGGGCCCAAAACTGGACACAGTACTCAAGGTGCAGCCTCACCAGAGCTGAGTACAGGGGGACGATTACTTCCCTGTTCCTGCTGGCAACACCGTTCCAGATGCAGGCCAGGATGCCATCAGCCTTCTCGGCCACCCGGGCAAGTTGCCGGCTCGTGTTCAGCCAAGCATCAATCAGCACCCCCAGTTCCACGTGAAAGCACCACGAGAAGGGCACAACATTGCTAACAGAGTCCCACACAGCCGATACACGCGCAAACTCCACTCCAGGCCGTGAGCTTTCTGTCACGCTGAATAACAGCCGCACACACTCGCGTTAGGAGCAGCACCGGCCGCCCCCCCCCCCCCATCCCAACCCCTCCAACAGCTCCCTGCGGCCCGCCCAGCCCTCGGCACGGACGGGAAGATCCCCACCTTGTTGTTGTACTCCTCCACGAAGCTGCCCAACGCCAGACGGAATCGCTTGTCCGGCCGCACGCTCCAGTTCATGGCGTATACGGTCCAAGGCGCCTCATATTTGTAGATCTCCTTCCGCTTGCCGTGCAGAGACATGGCTCAGCCGAAGGGGCCCCGCCGGGGCTGAGGGGAGCAGCGGGCTCGGCAGAGATGGGGCGCGGGCTGAGCTCGGAGCGAGGCTGAGGGCAGCCCTGGGCCCGGCCGAGGAGAGCGGGATGGCGGGGAGGGCCGAGGGGAAGAGGAGCGAGGCCGGAGAGGTGGCGGGGAGCGGGGGAGGCCGCAGCACGGCGCCGCGCCCCCAGGCCGGGCTCCAGACCCCGGAGACGGCGAGAAAAGCGCGGAGGCCGTTCGCGATTCGGCTCCTCACACAACGGGAGCGGAAGCCACGCGAGTAGCCCCGCCCGCTGCTTGTGGGTTGGCTGTGTTGCTTGTCAATTAGCACTTCGAGCATCTGTTGGTTACTTCTTTTGTCCATTTGGCCCTATTCAGTCTTTTATTGGTTTTTTTGACCTTCAATCCCAAGGAGGGCCCGCCTCCTTGCCTGTATAACCTACCGTTGCTTTCGACCCCGCCCAAGAGGGAGGCCGCGCTCGTTCTCGACATCTCATTGGCTTCCGGGGGTCGCAGTGGCGCGAGGCGGGTTCTTGAGCCCTTACTAATATCCGATTGGTCGGAAACCGTGTCAGTCAACCTAAGCCCAAGGCAGTTAAGGGGAGTTTGTCGGGCTTTCAGTGTTGTGGCGAGTTCGAGTCCTGTCTTCTCCGAGTAGCGGATGAAGACAAGCTTATCTACAAGTAAATAAAGTTTAATTATGGGGTTTCGTTTCTAATAGCACACAACGGCGTTGAGGAGTACCTGGAACTGCGCACTGCTTTTCAGGAAACCCCTGTGCAGGCTGAAGCCCGGTGCCTGGCTCTGGCCCCTCGTGTTGGGACCACTGGATCCCTGGGACCCAGCTCGGGATATGGACATTCCCCAGCTGCTCACAGAGGAGTTCCTCAGCAGTCCCGAGGCCTCTTGGTTCTCTGGGCTGGGGCACGGCAGGGGGATGAGATATCCCAGCTGCTGCAAGGAGCTGAAACCTGAGCCGGCCTGGATATAAATAGTGGTTTTGTGGGATGGGGGGCTGCGGGCTGGGGGAGTTCCCATCCGGAGATCAGCTGGGGAGGGACAGATCTGCACCCTGCCTGAGGAGGACGCTGCCCTTGGAGCTGCTGTAATGAGGGATGGAGATGGAGATGGAGATGGAGCTCCTGCTGCTCCAAGGGCAAGCGCTGCCTGAGGTGTGTTTGCTGAATCGTTTTTTGTACACGGGGGAACAGCAGCGTGCTGGTGGAAGTAGGAGAGCTTTTTGTGACAGCTGCCAAGACTGAACTGTGTCCTGCTGGGAAGGAGTTATGCGGTGAAGGCCCACCAGCCCCATCCTTGGTCTACATGTGGGCACCATTGGCCCCATGGTCTCTGGAGGAAGCCGTGGGCATGGAAAGGCTGCCCAGGGCAGCAGGAATAGCCCTGAGCTACTGAAATTCAACAAGTGGCTGAACAACCCTCTCAGATATAGGGTCTGGTTTTTGTATGGTGTTGTGTGGAATCAAGGGTTGGGCTCGGTGATCCTTAGGGGTCCCTTCCAACTTGGGAAACTCAATGACTTTCAGGGATCTTTACAGATCAGCAGCTTGCTCTGTACTGCCCATGGTGATCCTTCCCACAAACACAGCCGTAATCCACGTCAGGTGCCAAAAACATCTTTATTTGCAAAGTGTACACTAAAACTCCAGAGAAAGAGATGCTCACAGTTTTACTACTCTCAAAGGGAGCTCAATATGTTACTTGAGCAGTTGGCCTAGGACTGTCACAGCATCTAACCGAATGGCAAGGCGGCAGTGCTAAGTGGGCTTCTCCTACGGGATGCTGCGGGAGTCTGCCAGGGAAAGGGCTAAGGAGGAGGAAGCATCTATCAAACCTTTATCGAAAGAGAGAAGCTGGGAGGAAGGACTGGACGTGAAGCGTCTGGGACTTTTCAGCTTTCTGGGATTGTGCTTTTGAGTTTTGTGCTTTATGTCCAGGTCGATGACCAGTTAGGTTCATATGGGGATTTGTGGGATGCGTGTTGGGGTTTACAAGGCGCAGTTGGCCTTGCTGGAGAAGTCAGTGCCCTAGGACTCGTGCTGAAGCGCGCTGATGTGGCAGGGGTTGTTGGCCCTTAGTGTCTCGGTGGCCATCAGGTAGGACAGGGAGAGCTTCTCTCCTTGTCCTGGGCTTCCCACCTGCACTGTGGAGCTCTCCTCCTCGTCCAGTGAATACTCTTTTGTAGTGCCCATGGGCTCTACTGAGCAAAGCCCAGTACCGACACAGTGGTCCCTGCTCCAAAGAGCTGACAGCAAAGTGGCCTTGCAGCTGAAAGCTGTGCGTTAGCTCACCTCTGGATGCTGTGGCTCGCTGGGCTTGTGCTGTTCTGGAGAGGAAGCCTTGGCAAGGAAGAGGTGTGGGTGCTGTTTGGCCTAGCCAGCCTGTTGGCGGCCATAAGAAAGAACTGCTCTGGGTTCACTAGAATGTGCAAATTAAATCTACTCTATGGGAACCGCTGGAAAACGTTGATCTTGGAAGCCAGCCACACTATGCTTCCTTTCACGGTGGCAGAAGACAGTTACAAATTATACCCCTGAGCCAATGGCATTGTCCTCTGTCTTACCCCTGCAGTCAAAATCAACATCAACTGACCGAGCTCACAGTTGAGGTTCCTCTTGACTTGCTTTGCAGCCCCCACGTCTCTAACTTCCAGGAAGCACTGGGTCGGAGAGGTGTCTCTGAATGTCCGGGTGCTCGGAAGATGCCTCCAAGTGCTCAGGGAGGGAGGGGAAACGAGAGCCCCGCAAGAGTCCCTGGGTGTTTGGTGCCCTTTGGTTGGGAGGCTCTGGGTTTGGGAGAGGTGGGGAGTGGTGCTCCTGCTCGGAGTAGACCGTCATGGTTTCATCGGATGCCACGGTGAGGTGCATCCCACTTGACAAGGAGTCCCTGGATTTCAAGTGGAATTTTTCTACCTCCGTGTAGCTTGGGCTCTGATAGGAAAGGAGGAACCAGGTGGGTTATGACAAAAGTAAAACAAAGCAGACAAGCACTCTTCTCGCTCGATCAGTTCTCCAAATGCTATTTTTCTGCTTGGAAAGCCTCAGAGCAGAGGAACCCATGTACTTCCCTACTGACTGGGCAACCTGTGCGCACAAATCAGTGATGGACTGGGCAGAAGCATCTCCAAGCAGACCTCCTGCTTCAAGACCCCTGGGCTTTGCCTGGACCCAAAGGAACTTAGCTGCGCTTTGCACACAGGGAGACTGGAGAGGACCACTGGCTCTGCAGGACCCATCATCTGAGGGCAGAAGGAAGCCACTAGGGGTGACCTTACCTGCCCTGGGGCCATCCGCTGCTCATCCTCCAGGGGTGCACAGGGGGTGAGCGGCTCCAGGCTCCGTGGGACGATGCCATACATGGCCAGGTTGTGAGAGGATGGTGAAATGGGGCTGTACGCGGGCGGCACTTGGGACAGCTGGCGCTGCAGAAGCTGGAGGATTATATTAATGTCTGACGACATCCTGGACTCCAGCCTGAGGACAGAGCAGCTTGGTGTTAGCACAGTGCATCCTGCAAGAGCCAGATCCTGTGCAGGAGGAGGTGTTGACTTGGCTGCCTGGGGATGATGCTGGTTTTCTGGTGCTGTTCAGGGAAACTTTTAGATTTTTGGTCCTACTGCCTCTCTCCTGCCACAAAGTCTTTCCCTGCCTAATTCTGTTGTGTTGCCAAACCAAGATCTGGAACAGGGAACTGAGCAAAGTTAAAACTACACCGGAGGTGGGAAAAATGCGATGGTTAGTTTTAACCTGGACCAGCTCTTCAGGCCAGCTGTCTGTGCTGACAGATGGGAGCAAGATGGGCCGGTGCCAGGCTTTCTGAACTCTGTAATAGAAGAAAATGTAAAAATGAATAAGTGCCTTCCTTCTGCCTTGTCCTAACCTTGGGGGAAATGAGCAGCTCTGGCAGAAGTGGTCTTAGTCCTCATTGAAGGCAATAGCCCTGGCAGCACTGAGTGGGTGGGAGATCCGTTCCCCCCCCCCTGCTGAAGCTGGCACCTCGGCGAAACACCAAAATACAGACATGGTTACAATAGTGCAATGAGTTTAATACATGTAGCACCGTGTATTGGAGTGCCATCTATTTGTGTAGGTGCTGCCTGAGGCCTTTAAAGCTGTGTCTCAGGTGCAGTTTCTTCCTTTTTATTCAAAAAGAACAGCAGATGCCAGGGCTGGTGGGACAGCTGAGATGAGATGCATGACTGCAGTGAGACTTGCAGTTTGAGAAGCTGCTGCATTTGCAAAGCACTCCCATCTCCTCCCCAAGGAGTGTAGTGTCCCAGGGGTTCTGGAGATGGAATCTGCTGCACACAGAGCCTGGTGCAGCCACCCCTGCAGAGCAGAAGGTGATGACCCAGATCCCCCCCCCCCCCGGGTTCTCCCCAGCCTTACACACCAAGGACCTGCCTACCTGCTGAGCTGGGCCTGCAGGAGCTCTAGCCTGGACTCGATCTGCCCTGGTCTGTAGTCGCTGTGCAGGGGGATGTCCCGTGAGCTGTGCACCAAGGAGACATGCTGCAGGGGCTCTGGGTGATGGTTTGGCCTTTGATCCTCCCAGAAGGTGAACATATTGGGGATGTCTAGGGGGGTGGCTGGAAGAAGAGAAGACCCCTCAGCACCTCTGACTTGCATCTCCCATTCTGTCAATGCTCTACCACCCAATGTGCTCATGGAAAGCCACCACTCTGATGTACATGGGAGAGTCCACCACCCTAGCACCCAAAGTGCTCATGAGCAGTCCTTCACACTGGTACCCAACACACCTACAGGTCCCGTGGGGGAAATCCAAAGATGTCCCCAGGGATGAGGTGAAACCTCAGGGCATTGTAGGCACAGAGCAAACACTGTTGTGGACAAAAGGCAGCAAAGACCACTGGCCAGCAGCACGATTCCTCTCAAATCTATGAGTTGTGTAGCTCTGCCCCAAGGTGAGGCCACCATGCCCAAGCATCCCTCAGCCCCATCCTCCCAACTGCAGATGTGGGTACCTGCATAGGACTGGCTGCTCTCTGCCGCCTGCTTGCTGATCTCTGTGCCACTGGCGCTGGCGGTGATGAGGCTGAGTGCTGGTAGGGCATAGTCATCCTTTTTGGACAGGGGGAAGGGCTCAGCTTTTGTGGGGCTGCCAGGCTTGGCCTCATCGTCACTGGTCTGGGAACAGGGGGTGGTGCTGCTGCCCACGTCATCCCACTGGTCCTTACTCAGCGGATCCTGCGGGTTGGTGAGCTCTGAGTAGGTGTGATACTGCTCTGCATCAGAGGTGCCCGTGTCTGGGTCTGTGGGGCAGTACAACAGGTTAATTCGGGGAACAGCACGCGTGACAAAAATCAGTCCACATTCCCTGAGAGGTACTTGTAGGGCTGGAGCATCCCAAGGACGGAGGCACTGCTTTGGGGTGCCTGCCAGAGCAGTGATTGAGTGGTAATCCCCCTCTCTAACTCCGCTGATGCTTTGGTTTGCAGAACTGGCACGATGCTGGGAATGGTGCGGGATGGTGAGGAGGTGAGGCAAGCAGGAAAGGACTCACCAGGCTTGTTGGGCTGACAAAGGGAGTGCTTGCGTCGGCGCACACGCCGGTAGGTGCAGTCGTACTCCTCACTGAGCGGTGTGCGGGGAACGCTGTCTGCCTGAGGGACAGAGAAACTGGTCAGCAAGGCAAGGGTGCCCCTGGGAAACCACAAATTCATGGAGTGGGCTGGGAAACGTGGCTGTTGATCAATTCATCACCAAATGGAATGAGGAGCAACAGGTTGGCATCCTCACTTCAGCTCTGCCACTTGCTAAATTTAAGGTGTTGACCGCATCCATCCCTGGGACAACACTGGCACTCACATCTCGCAGGTTGAAGGTGATCTCTAAGTTGCTCCAGAAGTTGTCAGAGAAGGCTGGGTACATGTCCAAGACCTCCAGCAGATCCTCCCGCTGGATCTTATGCAAGTCACAGTAGGTCAGGGCCCTCACATCGGCGTTCGATTTCCCTGGACGGGCATAGAGGCTGATGGGCTCCCCAAAGATGTCGTTCTTCCCTGGACAAAGAGATAGCTTGTTAGGGATAGGTGGGTGCCCATCCCAACTCCAGTGGACCAGGAGCCTTTACATGGGGGCTCATGGACAAGTGAGTGCCCAGAGACCCTGACAGAGGAGTGGGGGATTCCACCATGAAAGCCACTGCTGATGGGGAGAATGAGCAGAGCAGTGGGTCATCGTTGACCATTGGGGACTGCTGAGCCATGCCCTACTGTTGTCAGTCCTCTGGGGTCTTTCCCCAGCATTTAAAGAGAATCCTCCATCCCACGACCGCTGGTACAGTGAGATGATCGAAAACCAGAGAGATGATCGAAAACAAACAACCTTAATTTCTCCAGGACTTGGAGAAGTCCTTCCCTCTTCACCTGCCACCCTCTGTCCACTCTTCACCACCCTTTGTTTAGCACTCTTTCTCCATTTCCCACTGCCCTTCATCCATCACCCATCACCCCTTGCCCTCCCAGAAGGAAGGACTTTTCCACCTAAGATGGCAACCACAATGTCTTCCTTGAGGATCTCAATGGAGCCCCGGGAGATGAAATAGAGGGTGGTGAGGACATCCCCGTAGTGCACCAGGGTGTCTCCAGGTGGTGCGTGGGTCGTCTTGAACTTCATGGCCAGGGCACGCAGGCAGCCTTTGCTGGCTCCTCGAAAAGCCTTGCAGTTCTGCAGCAGCGTGCGGTTGAGGTGGAGGCAGATGTCTGCTTGCAGGCAGTCAGGGAAGCCCTTCAGCACCTGCAGAGAGCAAGGGAGGGATGTGGTCACACCGCTGTCCCCAGGATGCCACAGTCCTGGCTACCTTGAGGCACAGGCAGGATGGGTGGCATGTGGGGCAGCATGTTGCAGCCGAATAGGGAGCCAAAAGCCCAAGAAGCTGAATCCAAAAGCTGATCTTCCTTGGTGGACTGCTGCTTGCCTGTCCCTGGCTTGTTACCACTTGTGACCAGGGATGAGAGCACTCCCAAGCAATAAATAATAATGATAACCAGATCAATCTATTTATACCCACTGGTTGCATATCCCCTTTCATCTTTCCACCCACTAATCTCAGCTGAATGAGAGCGCAAACCGGTAACGAGGTGCTGTCCTAATTAAACAGCACCTGCCTGAATGCCAAGAAGCAGCACAGGCCAGTTGTGCACAGCAACAGCTAAATATACCCATGGCAAATACCTCTCCTTGAACAAATGCTGAACCTGAAGGTGAGATCAAGGTAAAATTCACAACATGGGACAGCCCGGCAGGGGTTGCTGAGTGCAGCTTGCTCTCGGTTCCATCACAATTGCATGTGCTGGCAGTGCTGCATGGCCCCCTTCATTTCCCTGCTGGGAAATCAGGGGCGAAAGCATCGACTGGGATGTGGCATGATTGATCAGGCTGTGTTGTGTCTTAGCAGCATCCAGCAGGAACTGGTGTGAGAGGCGGCACGTCCAAGCCGCAGGCTTAGCTCAGCACAGGCGATTTGTGACCTGGGTTTGCACTGAGCCAGAACCTGTGCTTGGCAGGGTGCCGTGGCTTTGCTTCCTGTTTTTGCCACTGATGTCCAGCCTAGGGTGCCTCCTCTGTGGGTAAAGGGTGGCCCCAACTCTCCCAGCAGCAATACCCCCTGTCTGCCCAGCTTATTGAGGCAGCAGGGGCTGAATTCACACAAATCCAGTGCTCACCCCTCTATGCCTTGCAGCTGGCCAAGGCAGAACATTTGTGCCTGGGACCCCAAAGCCATGAGTTGAGCCCTGTTTCCCCAGTGCCACTCTAGGTTCCAGACCCCGTGGTGGTGCCCCAGCTCTGTCCAGCCCTCCCCTCTAGGCTCAGAGCCACTGTGCCTCTCCAGTGCTGCTCCCCCATTGATCCCCTCTTTGCTAACGAACAGCTGCCTCTCCAAGCTCTAATTAAAATGGATCGAGGTTTATTTAAATGCCCTCCTTTCCCTGATGCTGAGAGCGGGATGCACTTTGCTTAGCAACCGGCAGTGTGGAGAGGAGCTGGATCGATCCTGGCTCAGTGGCTCTGAGGCACCAGCAGAAATTGTTCCGAAAGAGCTCGGTGCTGATGGGGCTCTGAGCTCCTCCAACACTGCTCTGCAACCAAGAAATACTCTCCTGGTCCCAGGAAACAGTTGGAGGAATGGAGAGATGGAGGGAGAAGGAGAAAAGGGGAGAATAGGGGAAAATGGGCTGACAGACTCTCTTCAACCTCCCAGATCTTCTCCTCTCCATCCTGGTCAAAAGGGCAGACACATGTGGGTGGACCCAAAGGTGGACTCCGTAACTTTAGGACAAGGTTCTGCACAAATGTGGGGCCTCCCTGCATGACACTCACCGCGTTCATGTCGATGCCATTGGTGTAGGACCAGGCGTGCTGGAAATACTCCTCCAGGCGCTGGCGCAGCGGATTTGGGATCTGATGGAAGCGGATGAACTCCTTTACCCGCAGCATCTGCGTGTGGTAGCGAGCTGTGCCCGAGTAGAGGCGCTGGATGATGGCAGAGACGTTGCCGAAGATGCTGGCGTACATCAGAGCTACAACGAGAAGGCAGGACTCAGAGGGATGTGGGGAGATGCATATCCAACCACCGCGGACCTACAAACAGCAGATTTCCAAAACACATGTGTACCGTGGACCCGGAACCAGCAGGTTTCCAAAACCTGTATTTCTATCTATCTCCTCATCCATTTGTCTGTGCAGAAGAGGCACAGATGGAGGAGATACGCTCCTAAATCCCCACGTGTGACAGCCTGGTGTCCCACAGCTGCCCCTCCAACCTCCAGGGCCAGGCACTCACAGCCGATGAGCATGACGCAGATGGAGAAGATCTTCTCAGAGTTGGTGTTGGGCGAGACGTTGCCAAAGCCCACGCTGGTGAGGCTGCTGAAGGTGAAGTAGAGGGCAGTGACGTATTTATCCTTGATGGATGGCCCAGAGGAGAGGTCGCTGTCATTGTAGCGTTTGCCAATCTGGTCACCCAGGTTGTCCAGCCAGCCGATCTTGTGCTCCATGTAGGGCCGCTCCACGTTGCCGATGGCGTACCAGATGCACGCCAGCCAGTGGGCGATGAGGGCAAAGGTGCACATGAGCAGGAAGAGCACAGCTGCTCCATACTCAGAGTAGCGGTCCAGCTTGCGGGCTACACGGACCAGGCGCAGCAGCCGGGCGGTCTTCAGGAGACCGATGAGGGTGGTGGTCTGCACGGAGAGGAGAGAAACCTCAGGGACCAGTTTGGCTAAGGGAATGTCTCCAGTATAAACCTGCTGCTTCTTAAGGATAAAAGGCACTTCTAGAGCATGCATCACCTCGTCCTGGGGGTGATACCTGAAACAGGCCAGATGTATTGTTGTCACAAAGTGGGCGGTTTCCCTCTAGTGACTGTAAAGGAAATGAGCCCTGGGACTACAGGTGAGCAAATGAAAGGAGACAAAGCCAATCCCATGTTTCCTGACAAGTCCTCACCTTGCGTTGCTCCAAAAACAATTGCCTTTCAGCCCATCCCACAGGCTGTAAGATGAGGTGGAACCTCCAGATACCGTGGTAACAACAGGCCCATTCTATTGCCTAAATTTTGAGTCTGGTTGGAAACATAACCCAAAATTCATCCTCGCTGACAGTGTAGGCCAATCCCTACAATGAACTCCCAGCCTTCTGTGCTGGATCAACCCCAGGCTGTCTCCCCTGTAAGGGGAATGGGTTCAGTTGGACACTATCTTAACACATGTAGTAACATCTGTATGGCTATCTGAACCTTTGGAAATAAAAATCCAGATCCCATCTGCTTTATGAAAGCCTGCAATAACTTTCTTGCCCATCCCTCTGACCAACCATCCCTCTCTTTGCAGGTAGTCATCCACTGCTTGCATTAACCCATGCATATTCCCCTCTCTCTCCCCCATAAATCCTTTTCTCCATCCCTTCATGAGTCTTCTCCTGACCTCATCAGAGCCGGAGCGGAAGATGAGCAGGTCGAAGGGGATGGCAGCCACCATGTCAATGAGGAACCAGCCTTTGAAGTAGTGGATGGCAATCTTGCCTGGGTGGCTCACCACCTCGTCGTTGATGTTGACGTAGGTGGTGCGGAAGTTGATGACAATGTCCACGATGAACATGATGTCCACGATGAGGTCGATGATGTTGAGTGGGTCACAGGAGTAGCTGCAGTTCCAATGCTTCTCCTCCACCTGCTCCTCATTGAGCAGGAAGGCGGCTGAGTAGGGGGTGAAGACAGCCGTGTAGATGACCAGCAGCAGGATGAGCCAATCCCACACGGCCTTGAAGGGACTGTAGTGCAGGATGGTCCATCGGTGGATGCGTGGTGCCTGGAGCTTGTATTCAGGGAGGACATCGGCCCCCAGGGAGAGCACCTGCCAGAGATGGGTATGAGAAGGATGTGGAGAGCAGGACACAGCTTGGACAAGGCCATGAGGGGCTGCCACGTGTCAGTGGGACAGCATAGAGCATACAGTGGGTTTTCTACAACCACTCCAGTTGCCCTCATCTATGTCTATCCAGGATACCAGAAGGTAAAGTGGCCTCTGTGCCTGACACCAAGGTCTGCCCAGCTCCCTGGCCAGCTCTGATGGTTGGAGCACTCTTGGGAAAGGCATTTATCCACGTTGTACCATCAGACCCTACCACACTGGCAGTGCATCCTGCCATGCCTCCTTGTGTTCTCATCTCTGGACCACCAGCTCAGGAGCTGCTGGGTGTCTCTGCCACAGTGATCTGGGGACAAAATCCCTGGAGATGCAGACCCATGTCTGTAGTCACAATACCTTTCTTGGCCCCAGCACAGACCCTCCCTTGACGTCCCTCTCAGACAGCTGTCCTCCAAACAGAGTGGACAGCTGGTGCCACCGGCAGTGAAGCCTGGCCCTGGGCAGTGCCCATCTGAGCATCCCCAGGGAGGGGCAACCTACAACCACTGAGGGGCGCACACCAGTTCAAAAGCACAGCTAGACTGCTGCATATTCACATGTCCTAGAGCCATCTTTCCTCATGGGCAAATGGTCCTACAGCACAGGTGAGTCCCCACGTGTTCCAGCTCCCCCTATCCAGGACCACCTCCCCCAATCACCGTGGGGAAACAAGACAAGGTGCTGAGAACTGGGAGGGCTTGGGCTTTCTGCTTTGGATGCTGAGAGACGGTGGCATGAAGAGTGTTATTTGGAGCCAGGTTCTCCCTGCCTGCCCATGCCACTCTGTTTCCCTGAGTGTTCCCATGGTGCCAGCTACCTGTGCCACAAATGGAGGAGGGTGAAAGGCATCCCTGCATGGAGACCCAAGCAAAATGGGTGTGATACCTTTCCCTGAGGAGGGAGAAGGACCCATGCACATCCCACAACCCACCAGGAGCCCCATGTGCCCCGAGGCCATGGTGACAGGCACTGCCACAACTCTAGCATCATCTCCAGAAGAAGGGCTTGACCCCTGCTGCACTGACACCTATCTCCTTCAAGGCTTCAAGGACCACCCACAGGCTCCCATTACTGGAACCCAGTGCATCATCCCACCACCACCAGCCTCTCCTCTATCCCACGACCCTTGGGAAAATCCCAGCTCCTACCTTCCTGCGGCTTGCCCGTCTCCCCAGATGGCAGCTGACCCTCCGTGAAGCCCGGCTGTCCCCCATGGGGGTCCCCAGCCCCATACGCCCAAGCAGCGACCGGCACGGCAGATGCAGGACCGGGGCCACGGCATCACCCGCGTAGGCACGCACGCGCTTGGCCGGGCGGGCGGGAGGCATGCGGCTGCAAAGGGCATTTGGGAGCCCAGCGTGGATTAATCAAACCCAATCGATGCCCCCGTGGGGATGAGAGCGCCAATGGGGCCGCCGGAGCCGCCGACGTCGCTGGTGGACGGAGAGGGAGGGATAGGAAAAAGTGACTGAAATGCAATCGTTGTGGTAGGGAATGAATCGCTGCGTGCGTCTGGGGAGCGGTTCTGGCAGGGACAAGGTGATGCTGCTGAATGCCTGGCCCCCAAACTGGGAGGTGCCTCCTGTGGATGTGAGGTGGGCTCCTACGCCTTGTGTCTGGGTATTGCAGAACTGCTCACACCCTTGGAGCTGAATTTCCCATCCTGCCTGGCTGGGGGCTAGTCCCAAATGTGAGCATCTCGAATGTCTGTGCTCCCTGTGCCTGCTGTGCATCCTGCTGCTGGCACCCAGCTCCTGAAGCTGGAGCAAGAGTGGTTCAAACACTGTTGTTCTCCATGCAAGAATCATTAAAAAAAGCAAAACAAAAAACAAAAAAACTATAAGCACAGAGATTTGAGGCAGACAAGGGAAAAAAAGCAACCCCCAAAAGAGCATCTAAGGTAACCCAGAAGCAGGGAGCGCTTGCAGCATTGTCCCAGAGGGCTGCAGGTGACACCTCTTGATTGTCTGGGGACTCAGTGGGTGGCAGCACCAGGTGTCCCCCATGGTGACTCAGCCAGCTGCCCCTTGCCTTGTCCCTGTTCCCCTGCACTTACTGGTTTCAGCTGCAGCCGTGCTCGTGGTGTGGGGTGCAGGGTGCTGGGTGAGCGAGGTGGACATGGGAGGGAGGAGAAGGAAGAGGGAGAAGGCAGTGGGGCTGTGTGGGCTGTGAGTGATAGAGGAAGGGGCCCTGATCACCATGGCTGACCCAGCTCACTGCTGGCACTCGGTGGGGCTCAGGGCACAACTGCCAAACCCTCTTCCTCTTCTCTTTGCCCCATGATGGGAATGGGAAGGGGGACATAGTGCTGAAGGGGGACATGACAGGGCCACCAAGAGGCCCTCAAGCAAAGAGAGTGGGCAGGATGGCTGCAGGCAGGCACTGACCCTCCCTCCCTGCTGTTGGCCTCTTGGCACAAATCCTTATGCAGCTCAACACCCCATCACACTCCTGCCCACCTCCACCACCATCCATCCCTGCAGCACCTTGGGGGGACCCAGAGAGATGCCACCCACAAGAGAGATCCCATTCTGATGGCAGTGGCCTTGCTGCATCCCCGAGTGCCTCCAGCCTGAGCTTGGCAAACTCGTTGCACTTGTGGCCAGCCCTTCCTCCCACTTGCTGTGCTCAGATCAGCCACTGTCTGCCTCTCCCTGCTGCCAGCCAGTATTTTTAGATGCTGTTTCTTGCTGCTGTCTCTGCTTCGCTGTGAATTATTTATTGGCCAGCAGCATGGAGCTGTGGCTTGGTGGGAGGCACAGGGCACAGTGGGGTGAGGATGGGCAGGATGAATGTCCCCCTTAGGGCCATGGGGAGATGCAATGGGGAAGAGAGATCCTTCCCACCCCATCCCATCCCATCCCATCCCATCCCATCCCATCCCATCCCATCCCATCCCACCCCATCCCATCCCATCCCATCCCACCCATCTCCTGCCTGAAGATGGGAAAAGGGAAGATTGACCTTTTTGGGTGCTGCACAGCTACACCACTGGACCCTGTGCCCGCCTGCAGCCACAACCCGTCAGCTCGGATCCCATCACCCTGCTGCCAGCTAACGACCCTGAATCGAGCAGCAGCCAGTACTGCCGTGCCAGCATCATCCCAGTGCTCCCTGGTGCGCGGGTGTCCCCCAGGGTGGGGACATGGAGGCCACTTGCTGTCCTGCCACGGGATTTGGGGCTGATCCTTGTGATCAAAAGGCTGGGGCTGAAGGGGTCAAGCTGAGAAGGAACAAGCCTAAAAATTGTCCTGTGCTACTTGGGGAGAGCCTGTCCACCATACATGGAAGGTAGAAGGGTTTGCTGCAGCCAAGATGCGGAGTTCCTGGGACAAAAGTCCCAGGATGGAGATAGCTGCCAAACCTAAAGGTTTTTCTGGGTTCATATGGCTGCATTTTCATTAAATTTCCCCCCAGCTGCTCCCAGCAATGACGGGAGGTGCCCATGAATATACCTTGTATATCATGGCTCTCCCATGCCTCAGTTTCCCCACTGGTAGGAGCTCCCAACCAGAACAGTGGGATGCAGTAACACCTTGTACACACACTGTTATGCCCCTCTCCCTGCTCACATCCTGGCCTGGCATCTCCCTTGGACTTTAAATCCTCATGCTGCATCAAAATCATTATTTTCCAACAGCGATTTAAAAAACATTTCCTTTCCTATGCCTAGAAAGAGGGGAAGTGGCTGAGAGCAATGTCCTCTCTCTGCTCCCAGGTCATGGGCACTATGGCAGGTGACAGCCAGGGTTGGTCCTCACCGCTTTGCCAGGGCCACTTTTGCTTAGTCCCCATGGGGAGAAGGCAGTGCCATGTGTGTCCCTTGCATTGACAGCTCAGTGCTACACATGTTGGTGACAGTGCAGAGCCACGTGTGTCCAGTTGGGTGACAGTGCAGTGCCACCTGCTGTCTCCCAAGGGATTGTGTGGCCCTTGGCGTGCCCATTTGTGCTCCCAGGGTGGGTGCACAGTGGACAGTGGGACCCTGGGGGCACCTGAGCCACATATGTGTCCCCTTCACAACCACTATCACACCACCCATGTTCATGCCCATGTTCCTCCAACCACAAATTACCCATTAATACCCATTTCAGGAAGAAATATTTCAACCATTTGGAGGAAGGGACAAAAAGTAAATGCTGGGATGGTGATGGAGAGGCGGCCCTCTCCTCCAACACCCTCAGGAGTGGCCACGATTGCATCCTGCTGGCAGCACCAGCACTGTTGCCTTGGTGGCATCCCACCACCACGTACCTGTGTGACCTTCTCGGTGACGTTCTGCGTGCGCTCTGTCACTTTGTGGGGTGCAATGATCTCAATCTCCGTGGTGGAGCCCGAGCGGTGCTTCTCCAGGTTGAACTCCACAAAGTTGAGCGTGAACTGGGGGATCTGGCTGATGGTGCGGTACTTCATGAGGTCCGAGTCTGAGGTGGAGTTTGGAGGGTTGGGTTTCACATGGGAAGCCTCTGAAATAGGATGGAAAGGAGCGTTGAGGAGGGTGGAGAGAGCAAGAGGTGACTCGCAGAGCCCTAACCCTATTTCTGCACCTCATTTATGGTGCAGGACGATCATGAGGCACTATCAGATGGCACCAACCAGGCCATAATTCTTCAGGGTGGCTTCTGGTATAGGATGTCCAACCCAAGGTGCCCAAGAGGGGGCTGCTTTCAGACACATCACCCATTTTTCACCATTAAACCTCCTTCACAAGGTTCAGAGCAGATGCCCAAATACAGAGGTACCCGATGAGCTTTGCTACCTCTGAAGAATGTGGTGGGTTAGGAAGTGGTCCCAGTGAGACCCACCAGCGAAGGATGCACGAAAGCAGTTGAGGTGGGAGGTGAGTCTCCTTCTTGTGCATACTCAAGCATGACCAGCACGTTTCATGAACTGTGCCTGGGTTCTTGGCCACCCAATGGAACCAGGAGGTTGGTGCCTCCATCAAGATGGTCCCCACCAAGATATATCCCCACTCTCAGGCTCCAGGCATCTTGCCCAAAGAAGAGCTGCACTGGGGCTGGGTGCAGGCCTCATCCCATCCAACTTTCCTCCCTGTGTCACCACCAGCTTGTGGTCTGGCTCTTAGTGATGCGTAATGGGCACATGCCCACACTTGGGGGCTCAGAAGCATCCCCAAGCACCATAACCAGCATGTCTCACCCCTTGTATCCCCTATGGGCAGGGCTGGGTTATTTTTTCAGTTTTCTACCCCTTCTATCCCTTATACTGACACTGACCCAAGAGATGCAATGGGCAGGAGGTGCCTGAAGGCACTGAGAAGGTGCCCAATGTGCCACCCCTTCCTCCCTTCCACTCAGACTCTTCCCTCCCTCTATATTGTGTCCCTCCCAGGGTCCATAACTGGGGTCTTTTTGAGGATCACGATCCCCCACCCTATTTTCTCCATCCAAACACCGCACACTGATCCCTCTTCATCCCCACTTATTGAGGCTTCTCTTGACTGACCTCTACCTTATGTATATCATTATGTCTACAAGAACAAGAGGACGGCACCGAGATGCCTTCATGTGGGACGGCCACACACAACCTCACACGGCCTCGCAACGCGCGCACAGCACCACGAGTGGCTCTACCCAACAAGCAGGATCTGCCTATGTGGGGAAGCACATCGAGAGCAGTGGATTTGAGGTGGAAAACCCCAATTTATCTCCATTTTGCAGAGGAAAAAGCAGTGCAGGGTAAGAGACCTCCCCCCCCAAGATGTGCCGGTGGCCCCTGGGGCCATCGCTCCCCATCGCAGTAGGACCGAAAACTCCGGGGTTTTTCCCCTACCTGAGTTTGCCCTCCTTTCCCTGAATTTTCTCTGGAACTCAGACCTCGCAGCCTCAAAGTTGTCCAAGGAGGAGACCCTGCGGAGGCTGTGGAAGCTGCCCCCGGGGCGAGACCGAATGAAACCCCACGCAGAATACGACCCTCGAGGGCCCAGCGAGGGAGGCTCTTGTTTCGGGATCGGGTGTTGTAGGGTGGGGTCGGCCTCCAGGCTCGGCCTCCTCTCCTTTTCCAGGAGGGATTCGGTCTCTGACTGCACACAGTTCTCCTTGGGCGATGTCTTCAAGTCCCTCAAAATCAGGGAGTCACCACCAGGCTTTAAGACAGCCGGGAGAAAGCGTTTTATTAGAAGGAGTCCTCGCGTGCTGGGGGAAGGAGGGTGCTGGGGAGGTAAGAGGAGGGCAGGGGCTGGGACGTGCTGCGGTTCCCCCAGTTCAGCTCCAGGTTGGATCAGAACTGAGGCTGCTTTGCGGCGGGGGTGACCGAGCCCTCGGGGACATGGCAGCTCCGGTGGCCCTGGGGAGGCTGCAAGGCGTAGCTGCACAGCTGGGGAGAAGCCAGAGCAAGAAGAGAAGGGGATGCCTTAGGGATGGGTTTGCTGCTCATTTCCTAAGTGACCCTAAATGCCACCTCTGGGATTTCACCTTCTGCTTTTCCCTCTCCAGAGCTCAGCTCAGCTCAGGAATGCGAGTGCCTGGGGTCCTGTGCTGCTGTCTGTGGGAAATGATGTGCTCTGAATGAGGAAGCACTAGAGATGGAATCATAGCAAACCATAGAAGCACTCAGGTTGGAAAGGACCTTCAAGATCGTCAAAGTCCAACCACCAACCTCACCTACCAAGTCCTATCACCAAACCGTGCTCCTACAGCACCCCTTGGCCAATGCAAAACATTTTTTCATAGAATCACAGAATGGTTTCCCCAGAAAACCTTACAGCCTTTAACAACTTCTGCAGTAGATGCACAAAGCCACCGCCTTCCAAAGCAGAAAACCTGGCAGGGGGGGAGGTGGTTTATATCCAAACCAGCAGGAGGGATTGGGACTTTGTGTGCTTGCCCAGGGCACACTGCAGCATTTCCCACTGTCCCCAGTGGCCGTAGTGAAGGTTTTATTTAGGAGGTGGTGCCCAGAGGGACTGGCTGTCCCTGCTCCTGCTGGGCTGTCCCCACTCGGAGCCAACTCCATCAAAGCAGAGCATCTTCCATGCATGTACATCTGAAAAGTGGGATTGCAGCTTCAACGCAGGGGGACCCAATGGGGGTGTAGGATCAACACACCCCGAGCATCTGCCAAAGCCACAGATGCCTTCAACCTGCTATAAGCTCACAGGCACCTTTCACCTTATCCAAGCTGGAATGCGGGGAAGCAGCTGGATGCGGGATACACCCGGCGCAGCAACAGCCTTGGGCCTGGGGATGCCTCAGCAGAGCGAAAACCTCCTGCCACAGCCCTGTGCTTTCAGAAAACACCACACCTTTGCCCAGGGGTACCTCGAGCACTTCTGACAACCAAGAAGACACGGAGAAAGCAATCTCTAAAGAGGCTCCATCGATATTTACCGATCTCATCACATCAACAATGACAGCATCTCCTCCTTTTGCTCGAGCGCTGAGAAGCCAAAGCTGCACAGGCTGCTCCCAGCCAGGAAGACGTTGGGAAATGTGCCATTTTGAGGATTTTCCCTGCAAGCTCTGCCAGCCGTGCTCCCTGCTCACACCACACCACCTCCAACAGCTCTGAGGAGGGGACGCATCCCCTGATCTGCACCATCCCAACACTGTGGAGCCAGCCCTTCCTCCCAGCTCCGGCAGCGGTGCCGGCCAGCTCGGCACATCTCCTGCATCCCATGCCACCGAAGCAGTGCCACCAGGGCCGGTGCTGCCCAGTGCCGGACCCCCACCGCCGGGTACGGCCCAAGAGCCACAGCAGCAGAGGAGGAGCGGGGTGGGGAGAGCGAGGAAGAGCTGGGACCTAGCCTGAGGCTGAGATCAGACAAAGGCTGCGGTTACCTTTCCATAGTCAATGGCTACTCCATCAAACTCACTGGTGGGCAGAGAATTCCGCTGGGCTTTGAGTCGCCGGAGGGACGGGAGACTAAACTTCAACCTCCTACCTTCACCTTGTTAAAAAGAAAAACACAGACAAAACACAAGAGACACAGATGTAACCTAGCTGCACGGATGGCTGCAGCGGGGCGGGTTGGGATGGTGGCAGGGGATGGGTGGTGGAGGATTTGGGGTGGCTGTGGGGGACGCTTGCTTTTCCCGCAGCGCTGAGTGCTCTGAGCCAGCAGAATGCAGGGCTGGGCTGCAGGGACCCCTGCCACCGTGAGTGCACAATGGGAAAGGTGCAGAGCTTCTCTAAGCTGGTTAAAGCTGCTTAGGGGATTTGGACCTGGAGGAAATCGAGCCTCTAAATCTCCTCGGTGGGACTTGAGGGGGGGGGGGGGGAAAACCAAACCGAAAATAGGAAGAGCGGAAAGGAAGGACCCGTCCTCGTGTA